CTGTTTTCCTTTGCTCTGCTCTGCTCTGCTCCCCCTCCCTCTGGTCTGCAGACCAGGCGGACGGGGAGCAGAGCAGAGCAAAGCCGCGGAGCACGCGGCAAGCTGACAACCCAGACGTGTCTGGGCTGTCCGCTGCCCTCGTGTTCCGCCGCTTTGCTTCCTCTCCCTGGTCTGCTGGAGACCAGAGAGAGGAAGGGTCCCGTTTGTAACTGCGGATCCGACGTAAGTCAGATCCGCGTAACTCGGGGACTGCCTGTATAGATTTAGTCATTACCATGACTCATTTTAAGCATTCTAGAAGATAAGGCCTCAAATAGCATGTGTCATGCTATTGAACTCATGTGATTAGTTAAAAATAGAACTATGTGTATGTGTAAAGTTATTTATCTGTGCACATGATAGGGGCCTAAATCTGCTATCCGTGTTCCCTAAGTAAAATAAAATGTCGTAAAAGTGAAACGGTTACCAATATAAATCTAAATTGCCACACTTCTATAATTTCAGCCAGCCTTAAGAACTTGAGAATGCACTATTAACACTTGTGAACTGGAAGTATTTATTGGCTTTCTTATATGTTGTTTTCCTTTTCTAGCTGCGACAATTAGTTAATATATGCATCAGTCCGGATCCAGAGAGGCGACCAGACATAGCTTATGTCTATGATGTAGCGAAACGTATGCAGGCGCACACTGCAAGCAGCTAAATAGACAAAAGATCATGAAGAAAAGAACCAGAAATTTTCAAGTATTTTTGTGCAAATCTTCCTACCCCCTTTTTTTGTCTGTTCCATAAATGTAGTTATTCAGAACTGACTGACTGTGCTTTGAATTGTGAACCAGTTTACACACAAGCGTCATGATATTTTTCGTTTTAACCAATTTATTATTTAAAATACAGGTTTAAATGATAACTATAAAACAGATTTGAGATGTAAAGAATAATATGAAAAATAGTGGTTCCTGAAAGCTTTAAAATAGCGATTTCAAATATATTTTCTTTTTAATAACAAAATTGCATTGATTTGGGAGTCCAGTTCTAAAACATCATAGCACTGCAGTTTTGCACAATATGGATGTTCAGCTTATTACCTTGAAACAAAATTTCTGAATCTTTCTCACTTTTTATTACTTATGGAAGTTATGAATCAAAATAATTAATGAATTTATTTTAATTTTTGCTCTACAAGGGAAATAATTATATGATACATTTATTGTATTTTATAATGAGCTGTAGTTTACCGTTTTGCTTCTCAAGATAAATGAAGATGGAAGCTATCTGATTAGCTGTTTTGCTGAAATGCAGCTGCCAAATGTGAAAACTTTGTTTTTTTGGCAAAATTGTCAGACACTGAAAAAATCTCTGTAGCCTGTCCCATTTCCTTATTTTATTGTGGCTTAAATGAACCCAGAAAATTATTTTTAAGGGTTTTGTCTGATCAGTGTAAACTCTATACCTGCAATTTGATTGGTATGGATTGACCTACTCACCTGTGTTGCACTTCAGTGGGCCTCTGCACAGTCAGATGCTAAAATCCTTGCAGTCTACTCCTGTGGTAAATGGGGTTTTTGTCTGCACACAATTGTATGAAGAGACCTGTTTGAAGAATGAGGGCCAGCTTGCTAAGGATTTCTGTTTGTTGATCTTTGTAGATTTTATTTTTAAATCCTTTAGATGACCGTACACTATTATATTTCGAATTCCTTTTGAAAATACCTTTTAAATCCATAGTTTATTGCACACAGTACATTTGTGCTCTGTAATACAAATCCATGCTTCATAAAATACCTGATTTTATTTTATCTACCTTATATTTTGTTTTATCAACTCTAAAAACATGGTTTTATATGCTGTAAAAGTTACTTTAGTTTTTGTATTTAACGAAAAAAATCATTGCTGTTTATTTGTTTTGTCAGTGTATTTGTTGATTATATCTTAAAATGCTATCATTTTATCATTCTATCATTTTATCTGAGTTCAAAAGTAAGTTCAAAATATATTGGTCACTGTGTATGCATGAATGGTTTATTGGGAAGTGAAAGGAAGTACACACAATATGTTGTACTTGTAAATGTTGATGAAAATTGAGGTCTAATTTCTCAGAATTTCAAGATAATTTTTTAAGCAAACACATAAAGCTGTCAAACCTGGTTCAGTGCTGCAAGGTTGCCAATGAGAATGTTATTGTTACCAGCTTTATTGTTGAGCTGTAGTTAGTTTAAATCTTTTTGATACAAAAGTTCAGGAAAAATAAAAAATTTAGTATTTACGTGTAAATATTGGATCTGTATACATTTAAGTTCACTATCCATTCAACATTTATATGTGTTTTTTCCACATCTCCTTTATTAAACAAGTTTGCATAGATGGTATAATGAACACAGTGCAGCAATAGTTCTGTTTCTTTGATAGGACACTTAATTGGATTGACATAATTCATGAACAATAAGAACCCAGCTACAGAAAATTAGACAAATTTCAAAACACAGAAAAGTTTTTAAATTTTAAGGAACGATGACATCCTATTGAAAACCATTTGTTTTAAAAAAAGCAGTATTTTTTAACAAATCTGGAAAAGATCCTCATCCGCTTGCAAGTGATGTAGCTGCATTGATTTAATTCAGTGGAAAATCTGGGCTTTAATATAGTATCAAAGATACTTTCATTGTAGAATGAATAATTGGTTTTTCATCTATCTTGCATATGTGTACTTACTGTAATGTTTTGCAGCTGCATTGGGACTACTCAGATGAGTACAATTATTCATTTGTAAATGTTGACAGGATCGGGCCCTCATCTAACCTATCTCTGCCTGGCAAACTTTATATTGGGCTTCCATTGAATATATAACTTTAATAGTTTTTAGTGACTATTATGTTCCATAAGATTTGAAATTAAATGGAATAGTTTGTACTAAAACAGGGAGAGTATATTTGCTTGACCACCAGCAATAGCTATTAGTATGCAAAATTATTCATTCAATTCTTTTAATCTATTCTGTTTCCAATAAAATATTTAAGAGAGTTGAGAAAATTGTACACAATTAAATTATTTCTATAAGATACTCTATTTACTTTAACCTCTATTTAGGTCAAATATACAGGTCACTTTTTCCTAAAAAAACTAATATTTGAGGCAAAAAAATATTTCTGGAAGGCTGGATGGTAAGAAAATTATGGCAATAGTTGAGTTAGCAAAAACACCTAAAAACATTGAGGCTTTTTTTGGTATTTGTTTTTTGTTTGTTTTTGTAAAATGATTTAACTTCATGTTGATTAAAATAAGTACTTCAGATTTTATAAGCATTAAAATGAATGGTATGGGGATGATTCAGCTAATCCTTAGCTGATGTAAACAATTACACAATGAAGATGAAAATGCTGGCCAGACTAGTGTCATATTCAAGTTTACAAAGGGTAAATGAAGTTTACCCCTGTTTAAGGGTCATGTTCTGCAACTTATGTAAGTAAAGACTGCAGAGTCCGTCCCTTAGTAAAGTGCCTAACAGGATATGAGAATTATAAATATAGTATTTTTACAACCATTTCTTGAATGCCTTACCATTTTAATAGCTTTTGTTGCAAAACACCATTCTAGTTGGCACATACTCTAGATATTGTTAACCTTTACCAGATATTTATTTTATTGATTGCATTAAATGCTTTTTCCTTTTTAAATGAATGTATTACATTATAATAAAGTGTAATTATTCTCTGCCTTATATTTCAATTGTACTGTTATGTTTTGTCTTCCTTTGTGACATATGGTATTTTCATGTGCTTTGAATGTCTTTGCTGAAAAGTCTGCCTTCGTATTAAACTGCTTTGCTGTAAAATACCCTAATATAAATAAAACATATAAAAATGTACTGTAAAAATCATAGCATTTCCATGATTTCTGGAGCCTTTCTTGTTACAGATAGGTAACATCTAGTAATATACATATCTTGTGAGTAATCTCCTACTGCCAGTTGTTGATAACAGATTAGTTATTGAATGGTGCAAGAGAAAGTTTTAAAATCTTTAAAACATATCAAAAGTACAGAAAATATTATAGCAGGCATGTTTGTGATTGCACAGACGTAATGGTTTTAAGTGATACTTTTGAAAGAGTATGGTGTTGGTAGAGTGTGTTGTGATTTACAGAACTGGGTTAGTGAGATCTGGAAGTGAATTCAAGAAGACTTACAATTTACTAGCTGAGTTACAGTGTTCTGTCAGAAAAGCATCTAATCTTGATTTTGAAATTGCCAGTGATGGACAATCCACCAGGATCCTTGGTAAATTGTTCAAATGGTTCTGTACTGACTGTTAAAACTTTACACCAGTAGTCTACAACCTTTTCAAGCATGAGACCACTTTTTGAAGTGCAATCCAAGATCTACCTTGTACCCAAATACCCTTGCCCTTCCTCTTTTGTGCCCCTTCTCTGAGGCTGTGCCCCTGCTCACTCCATCTTTCCTCCTTCCCCATCCTCTCTCACTTTTGCCAGGCTGGGGTGCAGGCTCTGGTCTTGGGTTAAGGGATTTAGAGTGAGAGGGGCTTGGGGCAGGCAGGTGGAGTGCAGCCAGCAAACTTGATCCCAAGTCCTGTTGTGCCCCCCTCCTGCTCTGTTGAGATAGGATACAGAGTGGGAGAGGGGGCACCTTGACATCAGCACACTTCCTCTCCCTCCCCTGCCCTGCCCAGGAAGCAGGAGGCTCCTGGGGGGTGGGGGTCGGCTCCAAGGCAAAGGGCAGGAAATAAGCAGCAGTGGGGGAAGGGGCAGCTGAAGTGCTAGCACTTGATAGCCTCTTGACCAAACCAGTTAGGATCACCTGCCAGAGGCTCCAAGATCAACTAGTAGATTCCAATCTACTGGTTGATGACCACTGCTTTACACCTTTCTAGTCTGAATTTGTCTAGCTTCAACTTCTACTCGTTAGATTTTGTTACACCTTTGTCTGCTTGGGTGTGTCTAAACTACATGGCTCCGTCGATGGAGCCATGTAGAGTAGGCTGATCGGCAGAGGGAAATGAAGCTGCAATTTAAATAATTGCAGCTTCATTTAAATTTAAATGGCTGCCGCGCTGAGCCAACAAACAGCTCCAGTCTACACTCCTGCGCTGACCTGAAAGCCCTTTATCGACCTCCGCGTTATGCCTCGTAGGATGAGGTTTACGGGGAGGTCGATAAAGGGCTTTCATGTCGACAGGGGAGCGTCCAGATTGCCCTGATCTGCTGACAAACAGCTGATCGGCAGAGTGGGGCAGCCATTTAAATTTAAATAACGCTGCAATTATTTAAATCGCGGCTTCATTTCCTTTTGCCAAACAAACAAATCTACATGGCTCTGTCGACGGAGCCGTGTAGTCTAGACGTACCCCTAGATTGAAAAGCCCTCTTATCAGTTTATTTTCTCCAGGTAGGTACTTATACACTGTGATTAAAATACCCCTCCTTGTTCTCTGTGATAAACAGATTGAACTCTTTGAAGGGGGGACTCTTAATTTCTTGAAATGTGGAGACTGGTGTAAGTTTGGGAGTGAGGCTTCAGGGTGGTGGATTTTAGATCAGCGATCTCTCCATTATTGTAAGCCTTGTGTAACAAACAGTAGGGACCTGCAAATCAGCAGATATCTGCTTTATATCAAGAGATATCTGCATACATGAATGTGGCTGCAGATATCCACAGTTCATCTTTATGGATATGGGTGTGGATATAAATTTTGTATCCATGCAGGGCTTTTAACAATGTATATTCTAGAGCAGGGTTTCCCAACCTATGGTTCAGGACCCTAATATGGATCTCCATTACATTTCAAAAGGATCACTAAGTGTCTTCCCAGGTGGCTCTCCCCCCTTTCCTCCCCCCGTTTTTGAATGGCCTTGGGTCACCAAGTCTTCCTGAATTGTCAAAATGGGTCCCCATCTGGAAAAGGTTGAGAACTGCTGTTGTAGAGTCTAGACCAATCCAGCCACTTGTAATGCCTGTATCTAATCAGTGAGGAAGTTTCATGTTTCTAAACTCTAAACTTTGTGAGCTTGTCAATGATCCCAAATGTGTGACTGACCAAACCTTGCCTACAGAATCACCCTGCAAAGCTGAGATTCTGTATTTATTTTTAAAAAAGAAGGAAAAAGGGGACATAAAGACACACTTGTTATTCACAATGGTGTACCTGGTGTTGCTCGAGACTTTAACAAGTAATTGAGGGAGCAGATGATTTGAAAAAATAAATGAAAAATGCATGCATTGTTTTAATGATTATAGTTTTCAAAGATGAAGGAAAATGAAGGCTGGAGTGTGAAATGGAGGATGAAGAGGTGTAGGGGGTGGATGGCTTAGGGTAGAGGGTTGAGAGGTGGAGCTAGAGAAGGGGGAGGGGTGCAGAAGACAAGACAGGTAGAGGTGCAGGACTCGGCAGAGGGCTAGGAGGTGGGGGAGGGATTACCAGGGCTGGCTGTGGCAGCAAGGGTGGTACTGCTCTAGCAATGATTCCTCCCAGGGGACTGGAACAGTGCTCCTGTACCTGTGGGCTTACACCATTTCTCCCCTCCCCCCCTCCCCCACCATGGATTGCAGGCTGTCGGGGGCTGGGAAGTAGACTCAGAAGGCTACCCACCCCTCTGAGTGTCCCCTGGCAGCCTGCAGGTTGTTTTGCAGGGGGAAGGGTGTTGAGGCTTTAGGAGCTGCCCCTTCTTGCAGCGCCCTCCACCCTACAGCCTGCAAGCAATTTGGGGAGGGGGAAGGGACCAGGCTCCAGGGGCTGCCCCTTTTCACACTATGATCTCCTCTCTCTGCATGGAAGATGCAAAATGATTCCCTCTGCACAACATGACATGCATGTGGAGGATGCTGTTTTGCTCTACAAATTGGGGTTCTCCCCACACTCATGCTGCCAAAGTGCACACTAGAGGTTGCTGCGACTCCATCTGCTGATGGCACAACCCCATTTGGGATTGCAATGCCCTGTTTTGGAACCACAGGTGTGGGGCATTCCAGGAATGTAGGAGGATGTTGCCAGAGCACAGTGATCTTCTGGCTTGAGTCTTCTGTGCAGCATGTCTAATGAGCACAGCACAGAACATATTGCTTGGCATTTTTGGAGCTGCTAACAAAGCCCAAAAGGATTTGAATCTTGAGGTTATTGTGTTAAATGCTTTACCTACTTGTTGCATGACACCATTGGGATGTAATCTTGATTTAATTAGTGGCTGATTAAAATTATACAAGTTGAACCTCTCTTGTCCGGCAGCCTCAGGACCTGACTGGTGCCAAATCAGAGAGTTTTCCAGACTATGGGAGGCCAATATTGTCTAGCATGGGGACCGCTTGAAAAATGTTGCAAGTGGCCCCGGGCTGCCCCAGAAGAGGCAGAGCCTCAGGTGAAAGCGGCAGGGCCAGGACACTTCCATGCTTCCCCACCCACAGACTCTCATTGGTCTGAGGGTGGGGGAGCATGTAAAATCTTTCCTCCTGCCCAAGAGACCTGCCAGCTGTTCGGAACAGCTGCCAGTTCCCTCTAGGTACCCACATTCCGGCAGTGGGAGGAGACTTCGTGTGCTCCCCCCTGTGTCCCTCAGGTCAATCAGGCCCTGTGGAGGGGGAGCACAGGAGGTGTCTCGCTCCCTGCCTCCGCCCTGCAAGGGAATGCTGCACTTAGTCAACCACCAGCTGAGCAGCAGCTGGCAGTTGACTTTAAGTGCTGAGCCAATTGCAGGGTGGGAGGAGACTTCACGTGCTCCCCCCGCCCCCAAGCACTGATTGGCGTGGGGCAGGGGGAGTACGAGAAGTCTCCTCTCAACTTGCCCTTGCCCTGCAAGGAGCGTTTGGTGCTTTGAGGCATCACACCCCTCACAGGGCTGAGATTTTGTGCACTCCCTCCTGCCCTCAGGCCAATCAGGGCTTGGGGGGAGGAGGGGAGCACGCAAAGTCTCTTCCCGCCCTGCCAGGAGTGCATGGTGCGTGCTTCCCCCCAGCCCACAGGCCCTGATTGGCCTGGGGTGTGGGCAGCAGTATGGCCTCTGCAGGCCGAATCAACTTGCTTGGCGGGCTGGATCTGTCCCGTGGAGGCTCTTTTGCCCACTCCTGGTCTAGCAACATTATCAACACTCCTGCTGCTTACAGGGATGTTAGAAGACATTTAGGTTTAAAGTAGAGTTAAACAACAGCACAGAACATTGACAGGATTGCTGGCCATAAACAGATTTTAAGGGACCATGGGAAACTTGGCCACATGGACATTCAGCTAACTGTGCTGGACTGTCGAGTGCTGGATTAGAAAGATTCAACCTGTATAAGATCTTAGTATAATTAATCTATCAAAAATGAGTCATTTGCAGGTGGAAATTTTAAACCCATGGAAAATCTCTGCCTGAAATACACTGTATGGGCACTCCTTTGTGCATTTTTTCATTGATAGTCAAATAATTGATCCATTGGAACTACATGTAGAATAAAAATTGTTAGCAACAGGACTGCATTTTCTGGTATGCTTTTAGGGAGCGTGGTTTTTGTTTTGCTGATTTCTGATGTATTTATATGTTGCTAACATGGCAATAAAATATGAGAAGCACCAATATTAATGAAGTGATTAAGCCTAATTGTAAACTGAGTGTTCACACAGGGCTACTGTATACCATATGGCATGTATAGTGTGTTCATTTGCCACCTAAGTATAAAATGTTATCAATAAATTTACCAAAAAAGGTAAAAATGACAGTCCTCTGATGTTACAGCTGTGAACACATGCTATGACCTATTATAACTTCCTGAATGTACATTGTTTGACTGGAAAAACCTGCCAGTGAGAGCTGGGAACCTAGGAAACTGAAGTTCACTTTACAAAGTTGCCTGCTAATGCCTTCTAGGAAAGCTCTTGACCTGCTGAGCTGGTTGA